CCAGCTCCAGGTTGAGCTGTTGTTCAGCATCTTAGCTGTGGAGGGCAGTGTCACTGGCCCTCATATGTGGGATCCAATCCGGGGCCCTCTGGCGTCCCAAGCCAGTTCTTAACCAACACACCATTCGGCCAGCCTCCTCTGCCCATGTTTTTTACTGGATTGTTTGATTTTTGGAGTTAAGTTAAATAAGTTCTTTATATAGTTTGGATATTAACCCTTTATCAGATATGTCATTGGCAACTATCTTCTCCCATTTGGTAGATGGTCTTTTCATTTTGTCGATGGTTTCCTTTGCTTTGCAAAAACTTTTTAGTTTAATATAATCCCATTTGTTTATTTTTTCTTTTGTTTCTCTTGCTCGAGGAGATAGATCCAAAAAGATATTGCTGGGCCGGCCGAGTGGTGCATTGGTTAAGAGCTGGCTTGGGACGCCAGAGGGCCCCGGTTTGGATCCCACATATGAGGACAAGTGACACTGCCCTCTACAGCTAAGATGCTGAACAACAGCTCAACCTGGAGCTGGGTTGCCCTGAGTCGCTGCCGACGGTGTAGGCTGCAGCCCCTGCTGCAGTGGGTTGCCATGGTCTGCTGTATGTAGCCAGCAGCCAGCGTGAGCAGCCAGCAGCCACAGTGAGCGGCCGTCCAGAAGCCGGCGACTGATCTGCCTCGCCCGGGAAGAGCGCAATATCCTCCACAACTAGACTGAAGAACAAAAGGACAGCAACTTGTCTGTTCCCCTTCCCCCAATTCCCCAATTAAAAAAAAAAATCTAAAAAACAAGATGTTTCTAACAATGATGTCAGAGTTTATTGCCTATGTTTCCTTCTAGGAGTTTTATGGTTTCAGGCGTAACATTTTAAAATTTTTAATCCCTTTTGAATTTATTTTTGGTGTAATAAAGTGGTCTGATTTCATTTTTTCATGTATCTGTCCAGTCCTGCCAACACCACTTATTGAAGAGACTGTCTTTACCCCTGTTGTATATCTTTGCTTCTGTTATCGTAGATTAATGACCATATAAATAATGATTTATTTCTGGGCTCTCTAGTCCATTGATTGATATATTTGTTTTTATGCCAGTACCATATTGTTTTAGTTATTGAAGCTCTGTAGTATATTTTGATATCAGGGAGCATGATATATTATTTTAGGTAATAAAGATATTTTAAAAATATTAATCCTTCCAATCCATGAGCAAGGTATATCCTTTCATTTATTTGTATCCTGTTCAATTTATTTCTTCATTGTATAGTTTTCAGAGTACACTCTTGGGTGGTTTTTTTTTTGGTTTTTTTTTTTTTAAGATATTTTCAACCTCAGGGTCTCCTTGCTTAGTTACCCATTAAGTTAGTCTCTTTCCCTATTGTGTGTTCTTTAAGAATCTATTTTTGCCCTGCTAGGATCCATAAAACTAATGCAGTTTCTTCCTTGATCTCTCTTCTTTATGGTTCCCCACAGTGTGTTCTGGTGCTCTGGTTGTTAAGCCGTATCAATAACCATAGATATTCATGAGAAGTGTTGTGTCAGTTCTAAGCACTATATTTTAAGACAGCTACTGATGTACTGATTGGATATGGTAAGAAGATGATGTCTGCCATGGAGAACACCAGAAACCACACCAGTAACTGGTGCTTGAAGCAACTAGTGATGTTGAACCTAGAGAAGAAAAAGGCATGACAGATATCTTGATTATTTACAGGATTATGATCTAGAAAGTTTATCCTATGCAACACCCAGCCAACAACTAACACCAATCCATGAACACAACAGAGAAGTTTATTGTGGGTAACAACAGGATTCTAAAACAATGAGTAGACATTACAAGGGGAATATATATGCTCAACAGATGAAAAACTATTACATTTGGTGATATTTAGCAGTGGAATCATCTGAGTCCCATCCATGAGGCCAGAACACACCGAATCAAATGAATGTCCTCAGAAAAGGCAACCATATAGGAAGGTCCAAGAGAAGAGACTGGTCAGACCATAATACACAAGATAGTTCATGACTGCATAGCCAGAATACAAAGAGAATCTCTTAGAAGTACCAAGGTACTTCTGCCTTATGTGCCTCAGAGAGAAATTTGTTAGTGACATTCCAGGTTGTAATTCTGAATACATTTTCATTGAAGCCACTTGGTTTTATACAGTGGCCCTAGAGTACATTTACTGATACAAATAATTAAGGAGACTTAATGTTAAATGACTTGGGAACCCAGTATCCACTATTCATTAATTCAGCAAATATGTATTTATTAAACACCCATAATGCTTCAAGCACTGTTGTAGGCCCTGGGGATAGAACAGTAAACCAAAGGAAAAATTCTCTACCCTTAAAAGCTCATATTCTAAGGACTATCTAAATTTTAGACATCAATGTGTAAAGAATTAATGTGGGTTCTAGCCAAAAATAATCTTCTCTTTTTCATGTGTTGATGTCTGTCAAATTTGCCTTAATCCACTTCCTGAATAAACAATTCACTTTTAAAATAGTTTATAGAATAATCATAGCCATCAATTATACTTTGTATTATCTTTACATATATATTGAATAAATTTAAAATTTTGAAAGAGAAGCATTATCCTTTTCCAGAAATCTTTCCACTTTTCTGGTGAAAGAAAAGATATGGCTCATGTTTCATGCATTGACATATTTGAGATTTTTCTTATTCAGGAACTTGAATCTATAGTTACCATGTAATTCTGCCCAAAATTCATTTCTTGGGTTACTAAGCCATTATTTATGCTTTTTGGTGTCCATCTGAATTATGAATATCTAAGAATTCAGTAAAATATGCAATTTTCAAAATTTAATGTCACATTAAAAAAAAACCTCTAATGGAATGAAGTCACTTTAAATACTAGAGAAAGGATATTAGAGGTGATTAGATCTATAAACCTCTGTTTAGAAATGAAGACAATGAGGCAGAGTGACTTTCTCAGGCTCAGAGCCTGCTTTCTGGCCCTTATGCAGGGGTTTGTCCACCACTCCACAGTTTCATTTTCTCTTCCATTGGAGTTGGCTGTAGACTTGGCTGAGGTTTATCAAGAAGGCTGCAAATGGCCCATGCTGCTGCTGTGCCTGACACGAGTGTTCTTAGGGTAAAGCCCATAATCCTCCTGGTCTGTCAAATGCAAGGGGTGTGTTACTCCCACCTGGCTCATAGTCCCAGTTATACTATGGTTCAACTAAACCTTAGAAGGAGGGTAACTTACTAGTTTTCAGAATTAAAATATGCATTAACTGAAGACCTTCGTTGGTAATGAGTTGATTTTCTGAGATTTACATTATTTTTTATATCATTTGATTGATATCACTTACACAATAAAATTCTGGGGACACTTAATGGGTACTAAGCAGTGTGTTAAGTTCTTGAAATGTTTCAGCTATTTAATTCTCACAACCTCTCAGATAGATACTCGTATCATCCCCATTCTACAGAGGAAGAAACTAAAGATACATGTGGGTGGATTATAGGGCTGGTTAGCATCAGGAGTAAAATCCAGCTCCTAGTTACCATCTGACTTAATATTACCTTAATTTGGCAGCAGCTGCCACAGACCCAGGGAATTTAGATAATCTGTCCAGGACTATAGGAATCTGGTGGGGAATGTGGGTGAGTCACACTTTATATTCAGTGCTAGTTATTTTACAATGCAGATGCTCTTAGAATGACTCCTGCCAGCTTAGGTGAGTTCTTAATCTAATATTTGTCTTACAATTTTAAAAAAAAATCATTTATATACAATACTTAGAGAAGCATGTAGTTTTAAAAGATAATAGAAATAGACATTTAAAAAATTTTTTTGGCAAAATTATTCTATTTTTATTTTTTGAAATAGCAGTTTGATTGCTATGGTAATGCTGAATGTTAAGCCAGCCTTTTTTTTATAAATGTTGGTAGCAGTGCTTTTTATTCATAATGTGAAACCTTTGAGGCTCTCTGGTGCCGACTTGGTATTTTCATCTGCCTATTATGCTTGTTACATTGTGTTATCCAAGTGAGATTTAAAACATCCCTGATATTAAATAGTGATTCATTCTTTATCACTAAGGCAGATAGACTGGCTATTTCTAACAATGTAGTGAAGCTCATTTTGCTGCCTTTTTTTTTTTTTTTACTTGTGCAGACTAACAATAATTTCACTGAAAGAGAAAAATTAAAATTGCCTCATTGACAGTATAATGATACTAGTTTTTCCTTTATGGAAATTAAACAAAGTAAACATCTTAATTGTGACTTTCCAGGGATCAGTTGTGCTTTTAGAAAAATGCCTCGCAATTTCTCAAGTCTTTGTTTTCCAGATAAATCTTTCCCTTTTGAAGCATTTAGTCTTGTGGTTTTTGAAGTAGCGTATGGATAAGAGAGCCCATTTAATGAAATTTAGAGTTGACTCATCTTTTTTTTTTTTTTCTTTTCTCTCTCCTCCAGCTCTTTCTCTTTGTTGTCTGGAACTTTGAGCTCTACATGATACCACTGGTTTTGTTGTTACTACTGACATGGAACTACTTCTTGATAATATCAGGGAAAGATAGCAGGCAACGTGATACCGTAAGTCTCTATTTTCTTACTTGTCTGTGTTTTTGTTCTTATGCCTAGTCCCTCTGACAAGATCAACATTGAATTTGGTTTTACAAACCAGAAATTCAGTCCATAAACTCTCAAGTTTGAAGAAAAGTTTTATCAGTTCAAAACTAACAATGCTTTGGTCCTAACACAATAGAAAGTATTCACTCATAACATTACTCATCTTGGTAGGAACTAAAGTCGAGAGCACACCAAAGTATGAGCTATGTTTTTTTAATTATAAATGGGTTATTCCAAGTGATTATTTCTTTTATTCTCCTTGTTTTTGTATCTTCACAAATCCTCATTAAGACATATCACAAAATTATTAATGATCACACCAAATGAAATTTATTTAAAACATTTCTTTGTGGCCTGTCATTGGCATGAAGGAAGGATTGACGATGGTTGTGTGCCTGGAAAGTACATAAAGTACCTTAAATCAATTCAGTGAATACCAAGCAACATCAAATATCCTTCTCTGTGTCAGGGGTGTATTAGGAAACCTGCTCAAAGATTAAGAGCTTTCATATAACCTAGGGAAGGTTTTACTGAACCCACCTGCCCTCTCTGGCATTTTTGAAAGTTTAGGATGTGTGAGACCACCTTCTCTCTCTCTTTCAAAAAGAGTTTTTGACTAAAAAACAGACAATAGCCACATTACAATCACATTTGTCCTCCTGCCAACCTTCATTCCCCTTAGGTCATCTCAGTTGTTATGTCCTTAGCAAACATACAACTTCAGAAAGCCTTCTTATATATAAATAAATGAGAGGACATTGGCAATTTCATAACTCGATAGACAGCTGTTGACAAGAATTTAAAGGTTTGTGAAACATGAAAATCTATTTGGTAGCTATGTCTTCATCAGCTTACATAGGTTTTTTTTTTCTTTCTTTTTTTTTTTTTTACTTGCCATTAAAGGTCTCCATTTGATTTGTAATCAGGACTTTTTGCCAACTACTGTGCCATAATAATGCAGAAAACAGTTATTTGATCATCGTATTATTACTTAATACTTTATTGTAATATTAGTATTATAATGGTTGTATAAACATACTTGCAAAATAAAAGAATTTCCCTTTTAAATGACACAAATACCAAATCTTCAAATGGTAACACAAGCAAAATAATACTCTTCAAAATAATTTTCCTTATCACAATAGAAGATTCCTGATGCACGACCACCATGGCAGAGTTGCCAACAACACACCTGTCTGTCTTTCACTAGATTATAAATTTGAGGGAAAGGACTGTGTTTATCTTTGTACTTCCCTCTGTCTGTGGCATGTGTTTTGCCAACTAGACATGTTGAAAACACTGTTTATAAATTTTAACAAACCAAACATGAGATTACTATTAGAGATTTTAATGGTTAGTCAGCATCAATAGACAAGAAATTATTATCATTGGCAAGGATTTTATGGTTATATTTTTAAATTGCACACTGAGAGACAAGCCCCAAACGCCATAAGTATTGGTGTCATGGGGATTCGTAGGTACTTTTGCCAATTAATCCATGATATTTTCTTTAAGAAAATAGGAAAATCCAATTCCCCACCCCCATTTATATCAGGAGATTGTCGAGAGAGAAGAACATCTACTTTTCATTCAGTTGCCTTAAGACAAGTTTGCAAATAAGATTATTTGCAAATAGGAAAAAGTGGTAATTTAGTTTTAGCTTCCTAATCCTATAAGGGGGCTTATCTTCAATATTTACTCATTGGTTTGAGTATTTTTAGTGAAGAATTCTGAAACGACAGAATTTCCTTGTTATCTTCTCAAGAATATGCTTGCCTTGGCTGGAAATGTTCACTTTTAGAGGGGAAATAATATGTAATGTATCCCCTTGTACTTAAAATTCTCTAAGAATTTTTATAAACCTATTGAAAAGTTACATATTATGTAACTTTTCCTGCTTCCTTTTCCCCCAAAATATAACTCCAAAATAGTATTTACTAAATCTTTCCTTGTAGGCCCATCTCTAGCAGACTCCCCCTTTTAGCCATGGACAGCATTTTACTCCCCAGCACAGCCCAATGTGAAGTATTGTATAGTCTTAACTTTCTGTTTTTATTACATTTATTGAGGTGACATATGTTAGTAAAACTATATAGGCTTCAAGTGTACATTTCTATAATACATCATCTACATATCACATTGTGTGTTCACCACCCAGAGTCAGTTCTCCTTCCATCACCACATATTTGACCCCCTTTCCCTCATCTACCATCCCCACCTTACCCTCTGGTAACCACTGAACTATTGTCTATCTATGAGTTTTTTTGTTTCTTTGTTTGTTTTGTTCATTTGTTGCTTTCAGTTTTATATGCCACATATGAATGAAATCACATGGTTCTCAACTTTTTCTGTCTGACTTATTTCGCTTAACATGATCATCTCAAGATCCATCCATGTTGTCGCAAATAGCAGTATTTCATGTTTTCTTATGGCTGAGTAGTATTCCTTTGTCTATATATACCACATCTTCTTTATCCAGTCATCTGTTGAAGGACACTTTGGTTTCCATGTCTTGGCCACTGTGAATAATGCTGCAGTGAATATCGGGGTACATATATCTTTATAGATGTTTTCAGATTTTTCAGGTAGATACCCAGAAGAGGGATTGCTGGGTCATATGGTAATTCTATTCTTAACTTTTTGAGGAACCTCCATACTCTTTTCCATAATGGCTGTACCAATTTACATTCCCATCAGTAGTCTAATTTTCATGGAATGCCAGCTACACTCCATAATTCCCAGTAATTGCCTTGTATTTGCCCAAAACACACACATCCACATATTCTGTTCCTTGGAGGCAGCAGAGCAGCAATCACAATGTTTCATTCAGCTTCTTATTCACTGGATCAGTTAAGACCTTATGTAACTCTTAAATCCAATTTGTCTAATTATGTGTTTTCTGCCATACCCAGCTGTGCATTTGGACTGGTTGCTCCTTTTGAAAAGAAACCTGGATTATACCTTGCTGGTTAGGTTTTATATTCACACATACATACATATGTATTAATTACATGTGAATTAAGGGAATGTATAAGGTTTGCCATGCTGTGCGTAAGTGACTCTACCGAACAGCACATAGCACTGGAAGAATAATGTTTTGCCCAAGTCCTTAATGGTATCAAAAAACAATGCAGAATTTTTCAGCATGTGTAAAAACTTTAGGGAATGTCTGAAGTGCGTTAATTATACTGTTGGCTAATGCCAAACCATGAAAATTTCTGTTTTGGATGTGTGTTGGGGGGAAAGAGAGAGAGAGAATATGTATGAATTTTCTGTCACAAAAAAAAAATCACCTGTACATTCAGGTGAGAAAACTCAATTAGAATGAAAATTATACAAAAAAAAAATTAAAATTACCTTCAAGTTTGTATAGCAAAGAGAGAAAAGAAAATAATATTTCTATTACATAAGAAGTTAAGAAAGAAAAGAAAATAAACATTGTGAAAGGTGAAAAGTGCACAGATGGGCAAAAATTCTGTTTTCAACGTATTGGTTGATAGTGGAAATGAATACTAAAATAGGAAAGGATTTCTTAGTATGTTTGTTGTTTGTTAAGACCATTTCCCTTATTGGAGGCTTAAGATCACAGGAGCCGAAACCCCCTGCCTCTTCCCCACCACGGTGCCTGTTCCAGTTAATGAGAAAAATGAGATGTAATCCTTGCCAAGCAAGTTTATGCTGCTGTTAACGAGCTGAAGCCATTGAGGAGAGGATAAGGAAACAGCCCTTCCTAAGGCTAATGCTGTAGACTCGGAGGTGCAGACAAGGGAGAGGCATGGTTAGAAATGGTATTTCAGCTCTGCTGATTCCCAGCTGGACTTGTTAAAAATAGACAGCCCTAGATCTGAATCCACCTATCCTCGGATCATGACATTAAAATTTCTAGCATGAGAATTATTAGGCTTTTCACATGCTTCATTCAGAAACGTCTCTGACATGAAGGGGATAGAAACATGGGAATGTTTCTTGGTTTGAGCTGTCACCTCAAAACCTGGGGAAAAAATCTACATACCCACCCCTGTACTGCCCATGAGGCTTATACCAACTATCCTCATCATAGTTACTGTGGACTGAAATTTTGGAAATTGAAGAGTAGATGCCAGGAAGTGGACTTTAGTTAAGACTGAATCCTCATTACACTAATTACACCATGCCCAGCACTTGCTTTCATGTTATTTAGTCCTACCCCAGGAGAGAGAAGCTGATTGTGTCAGCCCAGACAATGGGTTGGGGCCTAAGTCAGGTGACCCCCAGTCTCTTCCTCTGTGACCAGCAGGGGACATACTCGTGTGGAATAAGCATGGCCACAAGAGCCCTTTCTTGAGAGAGGAGAATCAAGTCTCAGAATGAAAGAACCCAGGGGTCTATTGCCCTCTCTGAGACAAGTATCTTTATTAGTATTTTATATCCAAGGAAACAGGACAGAGAGGTTAAATAGCTTACCCAAAGGTACACAGTTAGAAAAAAAACGCAGTTAGAAAATGGCAGAGTGAGCATTAGAGTCTGTCAATCTGTCTGAAGTTTGCACTGTATGACTTACCACCAGTCAGTCACATTTCTTGTTGGGGCTATATTTTGGTACATCTCCTGTCTCCCTGGGCACCTTTAGAGTAGCTTCTCCCTTGAGTTGCAGAAAAGCCAATAGCACTAACTCTACCTTTCAGCAGACAGATTGAAGGAAAACTTTTTTTCCCCCCACTTAACTCCCTTACTTCTCATTCAGGGAAATGGAGCAGACATTTACTGAGCAACTTCTATGTATCAGGTATTCTGCTAAGCTTTTTAGATATATCATCTCTCATTCTTTACAATCAGCATATCAAGTAAATGATTCTAGATGGTTTTATCCTTATTTTACAAATGAGGAAATTCAAATCAAAGAGGATAAATAATGAGCTTCATAGAGTAAGTGGGATGTGAAGCCAGCTCTGCCCTGTTCTGAAACCCCGGCGATTTCCATGCTA